ATGTAACACGATTGTAGGACCTAACTATTAAAGTATTAGTCGCATAAAGGAAATAAAAAGACGTAATTCCACAACTTTTCTTGTTGTTTAGTCGTTTACGAGGAAAGCAAGTTTTGGATTTGTCATTTTGGTTATTTCTATTTGATGTTTCAGCACATTGACAAAGGTTACATAATACATGACACGGATAACAGAAATCCTCCCTAAATACTGGACAGTACAAAAACGACTAACTACCGACTCTTTCGAATAGTAATAGTGTTGTTTGATTAATTTTTAAATCGTGTTCCATATCTATCAGTATTAACAACATAAACGTTACCCATTTTAATTTGATAATTATGAATAAAACATTTTTTATTTCTTTTTTTTAATATTTGGATTGTTCATTGTGACATTGGTTTAAAACAAAATCTCCGACAATTAATGTTGAATTTCCATGGAAGTAAGTGATTTGAACTAATATGATTCTTTGATGCTACTGTATTGTACAGAAGCAGTTATGGTATGTTTTAGTATTTAGTATGTTTATGTGATAATATATAATGTGATGTTTCTTGATCATTCTTAATTAATCGTTATTCAATAATAAAATAGTCTTTATCAAATACTGGTACAGAAAATTAGAAAAGGTAAACTTATTTAACCTAATCACATTTCCAAAGACAGGTATATTGTTAAATGTTTTCAGAATTTCGTCGTGTATTTTGTCTTTTGACGTTTTTCCCACATTTGTGACATAAAGTTTCCCACAGAAATACGGAAATAAAAATTATTTTAAGTGCATTTATATATACTTTGTCTATATCTGAAATTTACCCCAACAATGTAGGATCTGCGAATTTGCTTTAGCTTTTTTTTGTTTTTACCTCAGCACGATTTGTACCTACGCTTATTTAACATCGTGATAACATCGCCTGCACTGATGTAGATTTGGTTAGTCGAGTTATGCCTTTTCTCGTTGTTTTTTTTTTTAGAATTGTAACACAGTACATGATGTATAGTGGCAAGCTTTTTTTGTCTGTCATTAAGGATGATGAATTGTCTTACCATGCAATAGCATTAAAAGATTTTTGTATATACTTTTATATATGAAATAACAGACGTTCTCCGTTGGATAAGCTATAGTTATAAAGGGAAAACAATATAAAATTGAGAATGGATACGGGGAATGCATCAAAGAGACAACAACCCGACTAATCAACAGAATACAGCCCAAGGCCACCAATGGTTTTCATCACAGCGAGAAAATCCCACAGCCGGAGGCGGGCCTCAGCTGACCAATAAATATTAATGTATACTAGTTCAGCGAAAATAAACGTCACACTCAACTCCAAAACACATAAATAGCCCAAATTAAAAAAAACATACTAGTACAAGACGGGCAAAGGCCAGAGGTTCCTGACTTGGGACACATCTATAAATACTCCATCTGCAATCTAGCCCACATATGTTCGATCGGAAAATCTGTTAGCATATGTTTGATCTTCCTTTAAACGGAATTGATATATCTTCTATCGGATTGATGCAATTGATACCCAAACTGTTCGTTACCACCTCGTATAAGAGTTATTTCTCCTTCTTTTTTGCACTTAGTAGTCTATGTAACTCTTTAACTGTCATTTAACCATTTTAGGTTCAGATATGACGCACTTCAATACATTGTTGAAGTGGTTTAGTGTGGTTTTGGTAGGGTTCGTGTCATTCAGTCTTCATTTTTATATGTAGCGTTTTTTGTTTGTTTTTTGTCTCGTATTTCGTTTTTTGCCATGGCGTTGTCAGTTTCTCTCTGACGTATTAGTCTTTATAGTCCCATAGATATTTTCACTTTTTCTTTATTTATTTTTTAAAATTGAAATAATCAATAAAGGTAAGAATTTCTAAACATTTCTAGATACAATCCGGGTAAAATTATCAATCCTTTATGAAACGTATTCTAAGAGGTTACCAACAATGTGCTTAGATCGTCGAATATTGTTTTTATTGATATAAATATTGATTTTTTGTTATCAATAAACTAAAATAAAACCATACCAAATATTAGTGATATACACATATGCACATTCACGGTACTGCGATCTGTCGATACCTATATTTTGACATTGCACAAGGTCGTTTTTCTCTGACTGTTACTGACGTCTTTTAACTAAGTCCATTGGATGTTGGATGTGTCTGATTGATTTTTTAGTCTTAGATGCATTATATCTTTATAAGTTTCTATTGGCTTGGAACTATATAGATGTCAGTAACTGCGAGTACTCTCATATCTGTACTTTGTGTCTTGCATGCTGTGAGAGATGTATTAATTCCCTGCTACGTCCGTTTTGTATTTTTAGTAAGATGCTTTTCTGCTTGAAATTTATAGTTTGGTCTTATATCGTACTGTTACACCACTAACCAAGGTAAGGGGAGGGTTGGCGCCTTCAAATATGTTTAACCCCGCCACATTCTGTCCCAAGTCAAGAGCCTGTAGTTTAGTGGTTGTCCTGGTTCATGTCTTTCAAATTTGTTTTCGTAAAAGTAAAAAAAATGTTATGAATTATGCCGTTTGTTTTCTCTTTTAAATTGTATTATATTTTTCATGTCGGGGCCTTTAATATCCGACTTTACGGTATGGGTTTTTCATTGTTGAAGGCAGTATGATTGCCTATAATTGCATGCATCCACTTCATTTCAACTTTGGTGGATAGCTGTCTAATTGGCAATTATACCACATCTCCTTATGTCTATCTAAATTATACTTACCGGTCTCGAAATTTATACGAAAATATTTTGATAATTCAAAAGTACCAGTAAGCTTTCACTTGTATGAACGTTCAACTAGAGGTACTTTCTCATTTATCGATATATCATATTAGACGTAAATATTGATAAAAACTGTCCAAAATGTTTAACTGTTCGAATTCGTCAAATTTCTGCAAACGCTTTTTTTCGTTAGAGGTAATGTTGATATTAATCTAAACCAAGATGTTGACATTTTTCTTCTTAAAGGACCGTCATGTCAATAAACACAATTTAAATAATTCGGAAAGTATGAATGAATATTGTTGACAAATGTATACATTAATGTGAAGATAACTATGCATGTACAGATTGCAAATTGAAGGCTCTTAGAAATAAAAGTAAGATCTAAACGAAGAATGTCAAGTACTAAGTTGAGTAGTGCGAACATACAAGACAGCACATAATAATTTGTTTGTTTGAGGTAAGTATTAAATCTACGTCTTACAGAGGAAATTTTAATATGTTTTGATCAGTGAATAGGCTAAATACGTGATTAAAAATATAGACAGATCTTTTATATTGTCATTGTTATCACAACCTGCTTATTCAGAACTTGGTAAAAAGTAAAATAACAAAAATACCGAACTCCACGGAAAATCGGAAAGTCCCCAAGCAAATGGCAAAATCAAAACCTCAAACACATCAAGCGAATGGATAACTGTCATATTCCTGAATTGGTACAGGCATTTTCTTATGTAGAAAATGGTGGATTAAACCTGGTAATTTTGTTTAAATGCTTCGTCTGTTGATAGTCTTCAATACGTTTACATACGTACAGGCCTCTCATAAATATGACTTATTTCAATTCAAACTCATGATGATATTTCAATTGTTAGCAATACTGTGTTTGATATGTTTTTTAGCTTTCCGGAGCCACATTGTTTAACTTATACCTGTCACTCAACTAGCTAGCTTCGGGTAGATGCGAGGACAGTTTGATCCTGCTTTCCAAATAAATATGTGCTGTCTTTTTTATATTTCATATGCAATGCCAATCCAGTTGATAGCTTGACTGTTCAGGTTGTTTATTGTTTATTTTATTTTAACAATATAATTGATTAAGATATGTAATAGGAAAGTTTAGGCGCACGTACACTGATATAAGTCAACACATTTTGTGACCATTTCAGGTCATGCTAATATGGGATATGTGATAATCGTTGTATTTTGCATTTGAATGTACAGCTTTTCTTCAGAATAATCAGTTGTTAGCGGCTTGTGGGTTCTGATGAGATGTGCAACATGTTTGTTTATTCGTGTTATCCTTTTTATGAATTATACGTTTTCAAATAAAATTTTAGAGAATGCAGATGAGAGCTCCTCTGATTTTAAATAATTTATCATAAAAAAGAAATATTGGAACCTGGCCAATTTAAAGAAGCACTAATAAAGTTTTTTTTTGTACAATTATCTCCATGTGTCACCTTGTAGGAAAAACGTTACTGAAATTAACTCAATTTCGTGTTTACCTTGGAACTTGAAACTATAATAGATAGAGCGAAAATTTGAAAAGTTAAAAGCAACACAAGTTCTACAAATACGTTCACATCATCTAAGTACAACTTCTATCAATGTTTTATGTTTTTTTTTTCTTCTTATAAACTATAAAAAGTATGTTTGAGCTTTTTTGTGGATCCTGTACTCCATTGTTTTGTATAAATATCAGTCAAAAACAGAAGTGGACAGTACAACGACTGATTTTGACCCACACAGTATCCTCATAGCAAATAATATTCTAACATTGAATCCATTATATTAAAATATGCATATGCTCATCTGGCCTTTTAGTTTGTATCCTTCTGTTGTTGTCTCATTGGCGACCATGTTTACCTCATAGAATATCTCCACTATGTTAACATGAGCGTACGTCTGATTCACAAAGTGAAATCGAAATATCTATATTTATCAACGAAACATTAAGAATGAATGAAAATACGACTAAGGCTATACTTGCATTTCATAAACGCTATTAAACGTTGACATTGAAAACGTTCCCCAGTATATGTGTATGATATACAAAAAACCGTACCATCAACATGATCAAAAATAGACTTTGATTTTATATATTCACGCCGTTTATGGGAATGTTTTAAAAGAGATGATTCGTCAACAGGTCAATAATTTGAATTCTCGAGATAAGGAACAAGGTGAATGTATATTAAAATCTCATAAAAATGTCGGTTATGTGACAAAATATATAGAACAGGTCACAAATGAAACTTTTATAAAATATATTATTTATCAAACAATGCTTAGGAATTGTTGGTTAAAATAATGTGACCTTGAGATCATTAATTGCAATGAGGTCATTTTGGTTAGTGTTGCGCTTATTTATTCTTGAAATAATCAATGAATTTTGCTTTTGAATGTCTTAGTTTTGAAATTAAAAAAACATCGGCTGTTATACATGTTATATTCAAACAGTTTTTACTTAAGATTAAAACTGTATTCCAGCTCCCTGTTGAATAGAGCCATTGTCGTTCCCGGGTGTAAGCATAGGATTCAAATTACGAGTTTTGCACTCAAATGCATTGCTCACATGATACCCAAGCCCTGCAAAAAGGTCTTTTTCTTTGAATTCTTCGGGAAGAAATTCTTTGCCGCTTAAGCACTTCCCAACAAATATAAAGGCAGCTGATTTGCTTGATAGTTGTGGTGAATCCGTCGCTTCAAAACAAATCAATGAACCGCTATCTCCTTCTTCTGCAAATTCCGCATTTGTTGGATTGTTTTGTATAAAGTGAATACGATTTTTAAATTCTTCACCCTCCCTCACAAATATTGATCCTTTATAAGTTCCTTTCGTTAGTTCAGTTTTCGCTCCCCATTTATATACTTTCATATTTTTCATTTCACTATCGTTTGCGAGGGCTACTATTCCGGTTACAAACCTGTCTGTAGAATCTCGCAATCCATATCGACAATGTTCAATCTTTTCCTTGAAGACCTTAATCAGTGATAAGTCGAGACCGTCGGTGATTGAATCTGCATACACGTTAGGAGCCATTACACTCTTTCCAACTGCTGATTCTACAGTGTCGGTATAAACTTCTTTATTGTTTTGAATGACATGTGCACATGTCGTAAAATAAAGGCTTCCCTCATTATCACGTAAGAAAAACCCGAGGGTTCCATATTCTTGACTGTGATCATTAGATCTACTTACTTTGCTGCCTTGCTTTAAATGACACTTTGATATTTTTGGATTGCTTGACCATTGTCTCACTGTAAAGGGGCACATGTTCTTCGGTAAAAATTCTTCAATATAACAACGAACAGATTTCTCTTCTTTAGTAAAGATTTGCATCTGCCCATCATTCAATGAAAATGCAGAGACATCTGAATGTCTAAATAAAAAAAAACAGAAGTGTTAAATCATATAAAATTTGGTTTTTCTGTTAATGTCTTATTACATTATCAATAGTAGTTGTATTGATATTGTTAAATTGGATTTCATTTGCAGAAATAATATTAATAGTATGACATTAAAAAAAACCCTGAAAATGAAAAACAATTATTGTTATAACAGACGTGTTGTACATATACAATCATCTGTCAAGATGAAGAACAGGAATAAAAGCATTGTTCATTGATAATTTTTTATGTTTTCTATGTATTGTGTGCGATTTTGTCCCATGTACATTTACTCCATATCCTTTCATTTCCTACAAAAACACCTATTAACCTTAGACAAGTATGTTTATACCATTTATATAATTCAGTGTTGTGGAGACGTATGATGCGAACTTTTCTATAATAAAGGCGTCAAGAAACGATATTTAAGCGTGGAAATGTCGAAATTGCTTTTTGACGTAATAACTATATCATAACAAAGTTAAGTATGTCATAAAATTACTTCATTCAAAAGAATTTGAAAACGTTTTCAAAATCTAGTTTTATGCCTCTGTATGTACAGTTAAGAATTTGATCTTATTGATATATAACTTTTAGGCATGTAAAATGAAAAGTATCCTCTGATTAATCAAAGAGAACGAGGAAGTGTTTGAATTATTAATCAATTTTCCAAGTCTTACTGATATACAGTAAAAATGGACACATTCAAGTCATGAGAAAAAAAATCATAAGTGTCCATATTTCCGTTGATAAATACAAAGTCCTAAAACTTCGATTTTTTGTACAAGGAGTATGTCGAAAGAGGCTATTTGTTATAAAAAAATATCAAGGGTACTTGACGATAACTGTGTGATCATTACAATTTAACGGAAGTTAAAATTGAAGAAAATAAATGAACCGTTAATAAATAAATGAGCTGACTGTAGATAAATGCATGAACTGTTAATAACTAAATGATCTGTAGATAACAGTATTGTATTTTACTTCTAGATGTCTTTTAGTTTTTGTGTGTTCAATGGTTGCTGTTTCATTGACTTGACATCTTCTTGTATTCGTAGCCAAAGATCCAAAGTACCGATATGTTTCTTTTTATTTAATTGTTTAACAACATTTTAGACTTGGTAGGAGACCCTACATGATTCCAAGTCTGTTGCATTTAGTCAGTTCCTTATAAAGATTTTTTTAGCAATATTGGTTCAATCTGGTGGAGTCCAATCCATACATATATTTCAACCATTGTCCCATTATCACCTACATTTGTTAGTTGATCAGCACCTTTCTTAAACAGGAAGGAATACTAATGTTTAATTTTGTTTCAATTGTTTTTGTATATTAATTTCATAATTGATTCTTTCACAAAGCTACAATATTACACAACAAAAAAAGATATTTCTATATTTCGTCGAAACATCCAAAGTTGGAATTGTAAATGGACCAAAATTTGGTTCCCACGTCATTTTTCGACAATACGAGAAACTATGATATACAACAAAAATCAGTTTCTTTTTTTCTGAAAGTCATTTATAGATTGTTATTGAAACAACGAGAATTTATTACTTTTAAGATATGATCGATGGTAAGGTATAATGTTCATAAGTTGCACCCTTATAAACTTTCTAACGGAAACTAACAAATACTAAAAGTATAGAAAACATAAACGAAAAAAATAATTTAAACAGAAAGTACTATTAAAGTGTTATATACGATAAGTAGACCTTTGTTGCCTCTGCTCAATGCATCACATATGATATTCGAAAAAAATAGTTCACGAAAAATTCTGTTCAAAGAGAGAGAGAGAAAAAAGAAAAAGGAGTGCAAAAAACATGTTTTAAAGAAAATGGTAAATTAGTATTTAGCATCGTGTTAAGCAGGAGTGGAGGCATTACAAATAAGTTATATGGTGTAAGCCTATATATATTATTTTTGGTTTCAAATACCTTTGCAGTAAAACTTCAAGTTTATGACATGCATAGTGGTCTGTCTTATCGGAAGGAAAAAACGATTCAAGTTTCTCCATTTTCTTTTCATAGTCATCTATGACAGTCTGTGTCTGATTTCCATTCAGTGGCATTTCCCGGTGCGTTCTTCTGATGGCTTTGTTCAACTCTCTGACTGCTGTATACACCTGTTCTTCAGCAAATAGTGCAATTCTTTTTTCAATGTCAGTTTCATAATTAAAGAAAACATTGCAGTATATCTTATCTGTTAATGTTGCTCTCTTTAATTGTTTTTCTATTGACTTGCTTACGATTCTGCGTTTGTCGTTGCTATGACTGTGTTGTGCTTTTGGAAATACGAATAATATGTCAGCACAATCCATTGTAGTCTCCGTTAGTAAGTCAATGAGAGTAATGTCCTGTAATATATGCAATATGTGTAATCATAAAACTATCATTTGATAATTTATTGCTAAAATTGAACTTGAATTTATGTAGAAATGCATGTATAGGATACCATAGCATAAACTATTTCTTTTTTAATATCCTATTCATAGCAGGTTATGTGATCCAATGTTTGAAAAAATTATATCATATGTATGATGCTTATATAAGAGAGAGGCGCAAGATACAAAAGGGACATTCAAACTCATTCAAATTCGAAAAAAAACTGACAACACCATGGCTAAAAAAGACAACAGACAAACAATAGTAAACAAAACACAACATAGAAAACTAAAGACGGAGCAAAACGAACCCCCCAAAAACAGGCGGTGAACTTAGGTGCTCCCGAAGGGTACGCAGATCCTGCTCCACATGTGGTAACCGTCGTTTTGATACTGTTAGTACAAACCCGGTAATAAGTCTAAAAAGTAAAATAACAAAAATACCGAACTCCGAGGGAAATTCAAAACGGAAAGTCCCTTATCAAATGTCAAAATCAAAAGCTCAAACGCATCAAAAGAATGGATAACAACTGTCATATTCCTAACTGGGTACAAGCATTTTCATATGTAGAAAATGGTGGATTAAACCTGGTTTTAGAGCTAGCTAAACCTCTCACTTGTATGACAGTTTTTCCATTATATTGACAACAATGTGTGAACAAAACAAACAGACATAATAGGTAAAAATGTCAAAAAAGGGGTACAGCAGTCAACATTGTCATGATTGTGTTATAATCTTAATTACCATAAAAAAAAACAAATATATCAACAAAGAAAAACTAAATCGGTGGTCACATTCGGAGAAAAGGGGACGGGATAAAGTATAAAAAAAACAGTATGCAACAGATGAATCGGTAATGTAATTGATAGTTGTTACAGGTGAGATTGCTGTTGTTTTTTACGAGTCAAACTAGTTTTTTATATGAAACACCTGCAGGTAGAATGAGGCAACAAAAGTTGCCTATAATTGCTAACATCCACTTTATTGAACTTTGGTGAATAGTTGTCTCATTGGCAATCATACTTCATTTCCTTATTTTATATTAGTAATGTTTTGCACAGATATAAATCGTTTCGATTTCCTTGTTTACAAACGTTTTTTAGTAATGAAAATTTTAATTTCTGTGAAATCTGAGTCGTTACTGCACGCATGTTTATATCGAATCCACTGCAAAACGTACTTCCCATTTAAAAACATACTATCAAAGGAGGGTAAATACAAAATAAAACAAAGTTTGATATGCATACTGCCATTTGAAATTTTTATACTACAAAAAGGTCACATTATGTTTTAACGTTACTTTTTATAAGATTAATTTGTTATTAACAAATTTCGTTTATATATCTAAAAAAAGGTTTGAATGTTTTCAGTGAGTTTGCCGTTAAAAATTTCTGCAGGTATTGTTAAATCTACCATGTTATGTTTCGTAGGGTCTTTGTGAAGTTTAGCGAAACTGCGATTCATAATATTAAAAGAAAACATCTACATAAAGAGTGGTGCAATAACTCCTTATTTCAATATCAACCTGTTTTGTTTAGTCTCCGTGTTCATCTGTTCCTAGCATACAAACAACAATTGGTTCTGCTTTCGTCGTCTTACAGACATTGCACCGCCGACGGATTCTTTCTTTTGCTCTTGAAGGAGACGAGAATGTTTCGACCTTTGTTTTTATGATGTGCTTGTCTTCAAATAGCAAAGCAGGTTCTGTTTCACCATCTGTGGAGGTAAGGACTAATATGGTTGGACAAAGGTGTAATGAAGGAACATTTTCTTTGATGGTGTCAGGTATATTATCGCAACAGTTAGAATTCATCCACCTTTCAATGTTCTCGATTCTTGGAAAAGCGCTCGTTTTTAGTTTTGTTTCACGGAAGCCTATGAAAATGGGTTGATGTCTGGAAATGAATAAAACATGTATAACGTATTTACACATCCCTGGTTTTCAAATTTAACAGTTTTTATGTTACTGATAAAGATAAACCCAGAAAAAATATAATAAAAATATTTTGTAAAACAAAATAAAATGATGTCATGAAACTACCAATTTTTCTAATAGTTTACATATATGCAACCTAGGAACAGGTTTGCACATTTATAAAAAGTTCCATTTTATACTATAACAATTGAATATATTTTGTGAGTTTGTCACTAATTGTGAAAAATATTCAAATACACTTTAATATATTCAAATATGAAAATTTATTTGTGAACGCTTCGATTGAACAGTGTTGAATACAGTCCAAAAGCCTGTAATTTCCTCGAGTGTGATCGTCACAGGTGCCTCGTTGTATTATTTTAAGTGCGTCCATGTGAACTCAGTTGTCGCAGAATACTGATTTTGAAATCAATAATGCACTTTCTGGTTGATTGCCTTTGTTATGGTGATGTTCGGCTTAGTAATCTAACATGTATAATTTGTAAGATAAGATGGCATGTAGGAATGATGTGCAAGAGACAATAGACAATAGCCATAAAACAGCAAATTGTTTGGTGATCTGGATCTTGAAAATGTATGTTTAAGGCCTTTAGATAATAACAGAATAACAAAAATAGTCAACTCCAAGGTTAATTTAAAAGGGGAAAGTTCATATAAACGGACAAAATCAAAATGTAGACTTTATCAACCAACGGAACAAATGTAAAACAACTGTCATATTCCTGACTTGGTACAGGCATTTTCAGAAGAAAATGGTGGGTTAAATCTGATGTTATTGCTAGCTAAACCTCCCATTTATATGACAAGTTCAAATAGAAGGAAGCTGTGATAATCGCTACATACAAACTTGTAAACATAGCGAGAACTAATTGATGATTTATAGTTGAATATCTTAATTGGAGTATTGTTTTACGTTAATAGGGTCATGTCTAACAAAAATGTTATCTCTTCGTCCACTGGATGTATAAACGTTAAAAGTTTCTTCAAATATTCTACAGCGTCAGTTTATAAGTATAAATGAAAAACATCTCAGAAAGAGCAAACCAAAATAACAGGTTTATTTCAAATAAACATGTAATTGGTAAAAGTTGTGGACAGCCATTAATCTCATCCTATTGTAAATCTTATTTGGTTTTTCAGCTGTTAAAGCTTAGGATTATCTTAAAATGTTTTACTTTATCATAAATATATACTACTATAATGGTCATTATTGGTAATGAAATATCTTTGCAACAGATGACCACGGATATTTTTTACAATTGTCGTAATCACAATATCCTCTTATTGTCCTCGATTCAGACATCATCGAATGAGATGTTTTATCGAATTTGTACATACCATCAGCAACATAACCGATGACACATTTGGACCAGCATCTACTCACCCTTCTGGAGCTCCTGGTATAACCCTGGTTTCTGGTGGGGTTCGTTCTTAGACGTTGATTTAATTAAAGGTAAACAATTTACAAGCTATGGCCTTCTTGACCTTGAAAGCGTCAATTTCAGCATATATTTCGCGGATTTATTAGGTAAAGCAATACGGCAAATAAAAAAATACAAGTGTTTTTTGTTCTTTCTGTCAGGTTTTTTTAAGCGCTATGTGCAGATCGATCTGATGACTCAAGCCATTTCCAATATTTTACAGTTTGCACTTATTTTGTGCGGTTATATTACATCACTGTCCTACGTTTGGAGAGGGATTGTTGCTTAACGTATAGGTTTTTCCTTTATTGTTTTTAGCCTAAATCAGATAGTTACTAAGTTTCCTTTTATTGTTTTCTCTTTTTGTCATAACCATATAAGTTTATCAGACGGTATGAGTATGAGCTCATTGTTGAAGGCCGTACATTGACTGATAGTTGTTTTTATATATCTCAATTGTCTCAATGGCAATCGTATCACATCTCCTGTTTTATAATGATACACTCAATCGATTTGATAAAAGTTATTCGTGCCTATAAACGTAATTGTTCTTACTGTGTATACAAAAGGTCACCAGACAGGCAACCTAATACGAATCGTAAAGATTTCTGGACAAGTCCTCTAAACAAGCACATTCCTTTCATCTGTTCTGCCGTATAAAGCACTCGTTTTCGGATAACGGAATCCAAATCGCTGTATGCGTACCGGGTGACTATTTCCTTATCCAAGTTGTAAATGCTATTAGTTTCAGAAACGCATCCTGCCTCGTCAATACAGTAAACTGTGACTTGCAGTAAATTATTTGGCGCCTGGTGTTTGCTTAATATAACACCTTTTTGGAATAAACCATGGTATAGGAATACAATTATGTCTCCGGGGTTGATGTCATTAGTCCCATATATTTGTCGTCGATACATCATGGATCCTATTAGGTCAGTAATACTCTAGAAATAAACATAATACTAAGCATGTAATGATTTTCACTAAGATAAGAAGTAAGTCATATGAAAATAAGTCATCCTGGTCATTAATTAGTATTATTTATGATTTATGAACTTTTACCATATAAAGGATAATCAAAACTAACATTAATCCTCATATAGAAATAAATTGTGGCATGACTCCAGTCACACAACTATCTACCCTATACCAAATGGTTATGAATATCGCAAATATAGGTCACCTTACGGCCTTCAACAAACCATAATATTTAATAAGGCATAACTTGCCTCGATAATAAACAATTCAGTTAAGAAAACTTACGGTCTCATTCATGACAAATCCCTAAACGCAAAACAAATATGGCAGACTGCAACTAACGATAAACACTGTATTACATGCTCCTGATTTTTTCCCATGCATCGATTTGCTAATAATTAATTATTACTCATAACACAAATTCTTCAATAGTTAGTTTTTGATAGTGGTGTACGTAAAACTATATCAGTTTCTGGTGAAATTGGTGTTGCTCAATCTCTACTTCTCTTTGTAGTGTTATAATGACTGTTGTTTTTCCTAAGTGTGATATTGTGATATTTGTTAGTTTTTCTTTGACTTATGTTTTTAAGGTGGTACATAACACTACAGGGAGATAACTCTGTAAAAATCAGATGAACGTTTTAATCACGTTTTGTTGTTAAGGAAATGTTAAGCCTCTCAATGATCAAAATTAGTGTTTGTCAAACTGCTATATATCCAATGAAATTTTTCCGATAAAGTGATTGATTCAAGTTTTTAGAAATTTTCATATTTTTGTAAAAGGGTCAAAGTAAATATTTTGTCAAAACTTTATGAAAATTAGATGAGCCAAATTAATTTTAGTCGAGGTGTTTGGTACCACCTTAATTGTCCTTTTGATATCTTCTCCCTTTATTCCTTTACCAATGAAATAATGATACATAGTTAGAATGTTTCTTTCCATCTGTCTTTGATATTAGATTGAAGAGGTTTGAAAGTCAAATGTTTTATACAATTTCGGGATGGAATGGGCTTAGCCAGTATGTAATGTAGACATGGAATATAAAGAGTAGACCCCAATGGACACATTGTCCACAACAGTTCTTAGGTCGAAGTGAAACTGATCTGGGTACAGCAGTCTAGGGCACCCCCCCCCCCCCCCCCCTTCCCCTAGTCTAAACAAGGTCATTTGCACAGCACAAAAAATCCGGAATTTTCCGATTCTTTCCGATTTTTGACTTCAACTGGACCTGCGACCTGAAGTAGTCGTTTTCTAGGCGTATTTCAATAATAAACACGATCAGTAGTTATATTCCCGTTGATTTACACTATTTTTGGAAGTTTTAGGCCTCAGACATCGAAGAGAAGCCCACCCCTAAAATAACCAGTTTTATCCGAAGTTGGTATTTGAGCTCAAAATGAACATTTAACATGAGAAACATGACAATAAATAGCGTAAGGTTGTCCTTACATGCATACACTTTGAAATTAATGGCATAAAGTTGACCTCTAAAAGTATGGAGAGCCATTGGAGCCAAATAACGGTATTTTGGGTAAGACCTTAATATTACGGTCGCCGCATGGTAAGGGTTAAGTGACAGGCAAAAGTTACACTACCATAGTGAAATGTCCTCTTTAAAGATTGGATTTAGTGTTAAGTTGTGTGGTTAGCATATCTTTTTTTACATGATAGATGCCTGATCGCCTACAGAAATGTTTCAGTGGTGTTTATGATGTTTTGTATTTGCTAATAAAACATAGATTTGATTCTTGATCATTTATACAAACCGGTAGCAACCCATATGAATCGCTTGATCGTGGAAGTAACACTTTTCCAACGTAACGTAATGCATGTGCAATAAAAGTGTCTTTTTCATATTGATTACACTTTTTGTGGACTGCAACAACTGATGTCTGAGGTATCAACGCAAACGTACTTTTTGACACTTTTTTAGAAAGAAGCAAATGGTTAGTCGCATGAAGAATCTCTAAACTGATTCTGTCTTTTCTATTAATTTGTCTGTTTTGGTAGCACATACATCTTTTACAATCACATGTTTCAGATCAGGAGTGAGTAGGATATCACCAGCTTTCACCAGTTTAGAATCAGTGATTGTTTCTTTTCTGATTTGCATATCTCGATCTAAAAGCGAAAGAAATTTATGTAGACAGTTTAGTAACCTAGATGTTATTGCTGATAATAGTTCCATACTGATTAATGGACAGCTATCACACCAATACGACTCTGTTAACGTAGCAAATGCATAAAATACGGTTGCACACCAATGGTTAAATTCCATCCTATCATCATTTTTGACAGATCTGATTATTTTAGATTCTATGGTCATGTCATGCTTTAAGTCCAGGTCGCTGTGATTTGACAAGGTTCGTTTCAAGTTTTGACTCATTTCCTTGTGTTGACAGCTGTAAAACAAATATTTTAATTATTTTTTTTCAACGCTTGCATAAATTTTCATATTCCAATGAATTAAACAATATAACATGTTAATATCAATTCAATACAGCTATTGTTTGTTAACGTCATGTGATACTTTATATTTAACAAAAAAGAGTTGAATAAGTTTTATATACGTAGATGGTTAATTTAAGGAAATCCGTAATGAAAAATAAGATTTAAAATATGAAAGAAGATATTATCAATCGATTATGAAAGGAAACCTTTAATACATCAAATCATTTGAAAACGTTTAGGACAAATTTAAATCGACTAATTGAAACGCATGAACAATCTAACAAATAAAACAAACAGACATCACTCTATCGTCTCACCTATTTCACATGCTCCATGATTCTTTTTTATTGTGTATCAATGTCACAATCAGTATTTTCGGAACAAAACCGGAATGTTAATTAGCAGCTATATAGAATATATTGAAATATTTTTTGTCGATTATACGGATTCGTAATAAATATACAAAATGTACACAGTGGACGTAGTTTAGTATATTATGCATGCATTGGTTCCATAATTTCCTTCACTTCATAATAATCAGAAACTCGTTTCATATGACTTTAGAATATCATTACAAAGCATATTTCATTTTGTTTAGACATTTTATTATACCTTTTTTGTTTGCAAGCAGTTTTGTGAATCTTGAGCTTTCTTTCAATGTATGATAAATGCCCATTTATAATTAATATGTTAAGGACAACAGAATAGTCAGTCTATCAATAGAATTAATGAAAAAAGAAATTATTCAAATGGAAGATCGCAACAGAAATAGTTTGAACATTGTAAAAATTGTAGGTTCCGAACGGACATCTTCCATAAAGGACAAGCTACTTTTGAAATTTAGTCTAAATTTTATCTAAAGTGAAATGTATAATTATACCCCTATCATTGATAGTCATTTGTATAGTGATTTCCACAATCTTATTCATTAGATAGAGCTAATTTAAACTATCTACGTGTTGTAGAAAAGTTCCAATTTGAAGGAAATATAAAACCACATGAGTGTTAGCACGAACTGAAAACGTTTATATAATACATTCATTTGAACCAATACAATAATAGTTAAAACAGATTATTATTTGTAATTATTTTAGGATTGAATTTCGTTAGTTCGATTGTGTTTTACTTGTATTAGTCATTCCGGTTAGTGTAGGAACTTCATAACCCTGCAAACCGATACCTATTGAGTTGTCTAGTTGGTTGTTTCTTAATATTCCTAATATGAATATGTAATATTAATGATTTTAAGAATTAAAGAGAATCCGATTTTTTTCTTTTTGGGGAGAAAGGCGGGGGGGGGGGGGGGGGGGGGCATTTCTAGCTAATAATATGCTTGCTTACCTTCAACTTAGGTTGAAACTTCCATTTAATAGGTTTTTGTAATGTAAAATATATTGCCTAAATTATCTTGTTTGATATTTTAGTATAATCTACTCGTTTGGTCATATGTTACATGTTATGTATACTGCACTTAAAGTGATATGTAGTATCTTTAAAGATTGTATACTAAAATAGAACGTACTTAATGACTGATAATAATTCCCAAAACTACGTATTATGAATACATTGAAACTGATTATTTCGATTTGTATTTTATCGAAGAAAAAACTTTTTATCTCAGAATGTCTTAAAAATTTCACACTTTTATTGGCACAGTAGTATTCCTATATTCGAAACTTATATTTTTCATATATAAAACCAGATAGTAAAAACAAAGTGTAACGCATGAATTCAATATGGACCATAGCTGAATGTGCCGACGTGATTGCCGTCTCCTCTTATGCATGTATCACCAATCACGGAAATAATGTGAAAATAAGGAATATGCCACATTTGGTTATAGATCATACAACTGAATATAATCATAGTCGTGAGAATAATAACGTTCGTTTTCTAAAAGAGCATTGTTTGTAGTGAAGTGTCCTATCTCCAGAAAAGGGGATGCTTTATTTATCTAAGTTGCTTGTCTATTTAAAAAAAAACATTTGACAGAGTTACTCTTCGTGTACATAAATTCGATTCTTATATAACTGTTTATAACTCTGTCAAATATTTATGTTTGCACATTTAAACTTTCAACGTGTACCACTATTTCCAAATGGGGAATACATCATTTTAAGATTCACACGACGAAATGTTAAAATGTTCAATAAAATATGATGCAATTAAAAAAAATACGTCGCAGGTAAAATGATAGAATTCTACATTGGAAAAACACACGAAGAAGAAACTGTTCGACCGCGTGATATTGCACAAACAACTAATACGAAATTAAAGTATAAAAATTTATTTTTTAACGTTTTTGTGTAATTATATTTCATTAAATATCACTACATGAAATTTGAACTTGCATCAAGAACAAAACAACATTCGTGGATTAATAAAAATAATATAAGTATGAATTGACTACAAGTCAAAGGAAAAACAATTAGGTAAACAAATTAGATACAAAACTTAAACTTACCCTAAAAACTTAAATTTTTCAAAAATCTCTATAACTTATTGAGAAGTTTTACTTTTACAATTGGCTTTATTCCAAACAAGTTAGGACAATTTCAATGTTGCCGTGTGAAATTCCAATCAACGATACCTAATGTATTGACAAAGTCGTTCACATTTTATTTTAAACCAAAATCATTGAGCGATATAATTATTGTCGAGTGCAAGTGAAATAAAAACTATTTAAATATATCAATCAATAAGGACGTAATGTTTTTTTTTTCTCTCCATGGAAATAAGCAAACAATGTGGATTATTAAGTTTTTCTGATGAGTTAAATGGTTGAAATTGATCTAATGCATCTAGATCTGCATCAGTGGGAAAGCTAATGACGAAAACGGAACTGTACAATGTTAGCGTAGTTTGCACTTAGCAAAACGAAATGGTTAATTATTATAAATAGGATTAGATTTTATGTATCAGTTATAATCTATCAAATTGAAAACGAAATTTAGGAATTAAAAGTTAATAAATATGCTATGAAAACGCAAATGGAAACCGAAATCGAAATCATTGATTCAATTACAAGGAAAGTGAAATGGTCTATTATTTTTGATAATTGAATTTTGTTATAATAGTCACGTTTTCTACTCAATATTTTATCCAGGTAAACGAGTCAAGCATTATGTTTATACATACACAAAACGTATTACTCTGTATTCCTAAAGCATGTTGAGGCAAACCAAAAAAATGTAATTGAAATAGGCCTGCTCTACTTTATTGTACTACCACTGGATTCATGTTCTACATGTTGAGTGTATATCCCTAGAAATCCAGTTACGTGATATAATTCCTTATCAATTCTTCCCTTTCCCAAATGAATTGTAACGATATTCATGTTCAAATTAGTTGAGACAAAACATCATATAGACATGGTATTGTTAGTCTGTCTTCGACATATGAGTTTGAATATATGTCTGGTTGTTGGATTTTTCAGGCAGGTCTTCAGGGATGGTAATCTTAGTCTGATTACAGACATGTCAACTAGACTTGAATATATTGTGGAATCAGCATTGGTTGATATCAACCTGCACTTGTCCTACTTGATATTCATTGTCTGTTAATTTCTTTCTGAAGCCAAGCTTATTGAATAATACTTACGCCAATGTATTAGTCTCGATATATAATCAATTCATTATTGATCTTCACCTTTCAGATAGAAATTCCAACCTTATTTGCGATACACCTTTTTGGGGGTAAAAATAACATCCATCATTATCTGTCAAAGCATTCAAATGTTCTGCAATTAAGTAAACATCATGTCTACAGACCAGTTCTGACTATACCAACCACACTCATATCCACAATATGCATGACACTTTTTGGGTCAGAAAAAAATTAATGGTGTCCATGCAGTTAATTTTGGCACTTGAATAAAATAAATGCAAAACAATGAAATTGATCGAAATCCCTAGTCGAAAGATTTGAAGGGTTGTATGCTTAATTTCAAACCAAATTTTAGTCTTCCCTGGCGGTATGATGTTGAACAAAAACAAACCAAACATAGGAGCATTTATGTTAGTAGATAAAACGATACAAATGGCTATGAATATTAGAAGGTTAATAAATTCACATAATTTCTCAGTTTTATGTTTGACTGAGTGTGAATTCGCAGCATGGCAGGTGATGGGTGTATAACAGGAGACGATTATCAAGTCGACACACCGGTTCTCTTTCCTTTTGTAGTTAATGTACTGCCTCAGTTTTTGTTTGATTTTCCTAATCGATTAATGTGATTAAAACATCGGTAACCTATTTTGCTAAAATGTTTCACCAAGCCGCAAATTGAAATCATCTCTTCAAACTGATTATATCCCTTTTATAGCAGTAATACGGTTAAAATATTCAAATAACAAGTCACAAGCAAAACATTGGTATATTGATCAACAAACCATATTTAGACCTATATAGTTATAAAATGTCAGAAATTCTCATATCCAGGTCAAACTTTTTTTTTTACTGAAAAAAAGTTTGTTCGAAGTTGTTACAATTACAGAAACAGACTGTTATTCAATTTACTGGTTTGCAATATTAAAACAAATATTTATTTAACAAATTTAAAATATCATGTTTCATATGATACTTAATAAAAAGTAAAATAACAAAAATTACTAACTCCAAGGGAAATTCAAAACGGAAAGTCCTTTATAAGGTTGTTTTACCATTCATATAAACATAATTATAAGTGGGTTTACTGTAAAGATGGAAATTTTACCCGATGTCAATGCACTTTTTGCCAGGGGAGTAAATTTATTTATAGAGTTATAACTATTCTTGTGGGAATAATTTCACGCATTGTAAGTGATTGATGAACAAGCATATTATAACCCAAATTTAAACATTTACACGATGGTCTTGAAGTATAGATTGTAGGTACTGACGTTGTTTATCGTTTTAATAAAGTGTTATAGTATTCTTTTATTTGTCGTAAATTATTACTTTACTTTTACTGTTTAGTCTATTTTTGGTAATATCTATTTGACGTGACTTGGTACTTATATTTGTTTGTTTTATAGTGATTAAGATTATAACACAATGTTGACTGCTGTAACCCTATTTCTGACATTTTTACCTATTTTTTCTGTTTGTATTGTTCACACATTGTTGTCAATATAATGGAATCTTCTGCGACTGTCATACAAGTGAGAGGTTTAGCTAGCTATAAAACAAGGTTTAATCCACCATTTTCTACAAAAGAAACTGCCTCTACCAAGTAAGGTATATGACATTTATTATCCATTCGTTTGATGTGTTTGAGCTTTTGATTTTGCCATTTGCTAAGGGACTTTCCGTTTAGAATTTTCCTCAGAGCTCGGTATTTTTGTTATTTTACTTTTTACAATATGTCCATGAGACAGTAATCCAATGAAACAAGGGTGATTTGAATATTATTTTTTTCTAATTTAGAAAAGGAGATATTTATGGCTAAACTTTTGTTTATTTACCATAAACTGCTTAAAAAGGCATTTCCTAGTTAGTACTATTCTGTTTTTACAGCAAAGGTCAATACAACAGTACCAGGAATGACTAGGTTAGCCAGAATAGGTAGTTCTACATAAGAAAATGCCAGTACCAAGTCAGGAATATGACAGTTGTTATCCATTTGTTTGATGTGTTTGAAATTTTGGTATTGCCATTTGCTTAGGGACTTTCCGTTTAGAATTTTCCTCAGAGTTCAGTATTTTTGTTATTCTACTTTTTTCTGTATATCGATAGGGAGTTTTCTAGCAATACTTTATCTAAATGGACCAATAAATAATAAATATCGACTTTGATATCCAAATCAATATTGCATACAACACACTTGTCCAACAACAACTTTTAAACCTTTTGGAATTTTGGGACCTCAATGCTCATAGACCTCAACCTTTGTTTGGCCTTTTTAATTAATTTTTTTTTTAGTTCGAGCGTCACTGGTGAGTCTTTTGTATACAAGACATGTGTCTGTCGTGCAAAATTTTAATCATGGCATCAATTACAAATTTATTTACACATCATTTCTCTATGGATAAATCTGCCTAATATGAAAGTCTGTGTTATAGACCAATACCGGTTCTGTACTGGGCTATAACGTGTGACTCAATCTCTCAAACAAAAGTAAAGCACAAAACAGGGATCCAGTATGATAAACTAGAGGCTCTAAAGAGCCTGTGTCGCTCACCTTGGTCTATGTGCATATTAAACAAAAGGACACAGATTGATTCATGACAAAATTGTGTTTTGGTGATGGTGATGTGTTTGTAGATCTAACTTTACTGAACATTCTTGCTGCCTACAATTATCTCTATCTATAATGAACTTGGCCTAGTAGTTACAGTGGAAAATATTTTGTAAAAATATACAAAAATTTACAAAATTTATGAAAATTGTAAAAAGTTGACTATAAAGGGCAATAACTCCTTAAAGGGTCAACTGACAATTTTTGTCATGTTGACTTATTTGTAGATCTTACTTGCTGTACATTATTGCTTTTTATAGTTTATCTCTATCTATAATAATATTCAAGATAATAACCAAAAGCTGCAAAATTTCCTTAAAATTACCAATTCAGGGGCAGCAACCCAACAATGTGTTGCCTGATTGGTCTGAAAATTTCAGGGCAGATAGATCTTGACCTAATGAACAATTTGATCCTTGACAGATTTCACTACAAACCAGTAAAAGTCTGAAATGGCCTATATTTGTACTCGACTGTACTGATTTTTACTCGACCAGTCTGAATTGGTCTGAAATTTACTTGATAATACTCGACTGTAGTCTGAACCATACTTAACAGTCTGAACATGTACTCGACCAGTACTTAACCATTTTATTTTGGTCTGAACCATGCTCGACTTAGTCTGAACCGTGCTCGACCTAGTCTGAACCATGCTCGACTTAGTCTGAACCGTGCTCGACCTAGTCTGAACCATACTCGACCTAGTCTGAACCATACTCGACCTATTCTGAACCATACTCGACTAAGTCTTAACCAACCTAGACCTAATTTTTGTATCTATCTATTGTATTTCATCAATTTAGGAACTGTTTTTAACAGCTATTTCCCCTGGCTAGAAATTTGAACAACAATTTGAAATTTAAAATGTATTCAATATGGCTTTGAAACCAAAATTTCACAATAAACATAATATAAATTCAACACCATATTTATCAACACTTACATATATATATATCACCTTTAAAATAAAAATAAAACAAGCTGATCAAATAATCTCAAAACTGAATTGTGACTAATATTTTCAATGTTATTCAAATTTTTTTGAATGTTTCAGATATATTTTATGGTTACTTGACAATTTTCACCATTTACTTAAGCCTTGTATAGATTTATGGTGTCAGTTGAGTTTAGTTAATAACGCAGTGAACATTTTTTTTATTAAAACATATTTAAAATAGTATATAATGCAACTTGATAAATTTTAAAAATCACACCTTTGTTTTGTAAAACCAAGAATTTAATATAATCATGATAATAGAACTTCCATAGCAATCCTTGATAACCATTTAAAAAAGGAAATGTGTTCCAAAGTTGCAGAAAAAATTTATTTCAATTAAATTTAAATAACTTTTGTCAAGATTAAAGACATGGCATACAAGAAGCACTTTAATAAGGTTTATTTACCTCAGTACATGTGTGTTTTACAGGTA